CAAATTTTGGCTTAGTTCCTTGTTTTTCGTCAAACTCGCAGTTTGTCACTAAATAAATTTCTAAATTTTTTGTAATTTTTTTATAATCTTTTAGATTCATGTGTGCGTAGGTTATACTGAGATTTATGTCAGGAGCCATTGGGCTCCTAATTATGCATTTATTTTTTTTTTTAACTTATACTAGATGTTATTATTATAATAGTAGATTCAATGCACGTTCGTATTTTGAACGAGCACTTGTGCTCTCAGACGATAACGTTGTTTAATAAATTATTGTATTGTATTGTAACAAACTTGCTCATGTCAACGACAAGTTGAGGGTTTCTGTATCTCGCATTTCCCGCATTTAAGGTTACCGTGCACCTTCAGGGGTGTCTCGCGTGCAAGCGATGTAGCGCGTCCGGTTTAAACTGTTGATATCTAAACCCCTATGATCAAATTAAAGCTTATAGAACTGGCTATCAGACAATACCAAAAATTTTGAAAAAAAATTAACTGTCGAATTTTTCAGGACTTCTAAATGCGAGCACCCGAATCACCTTTTAAGAGCTACAAGTCAAAGGGAATTTGTTCGATTGCTCTCAAATTTTGACAGTAGCTAGTTTTATATATAAACAACGAAAATTTGTCTCCGAATTTTTTATTTCTAAATACTCTTTTTTCAAGAGCAATTTTTGAACGATCACTCCACATTTTTTTAATCCTGTTTCAAAAGTGTTCTGTAACTTTTCACTGAAATTGAATATGGCAAATCGCAGACACATTTTTTTAGCGCTTTGGCCCCGGAAACGGAGGAACACATTAAATAAGCGAAAAATAAAATTCGCTTTGACATGTAACGTTCAAAAGGTGATTCGGGCGCTCGCATTTAGAAGTCGTGAAAAATTCGACAATTATTTTTTTTTCCAATTTTTAATTTTCAAAATTTTAATTTGATATAGGGGTTTAGATATCTACAGTTTAAACCGGACGCGCTACATCGCTTGCACGCGAGACACCCCTGAAGGTGCACGGTAACCTTAAGGTGGATACACGCACTCCCTTGCTCTAAAGAAGTCACAGGAAGTCTTAAGAAACAATTCACAGAATTGTGAGGCTATTGACATAATGACAGAAATAATAGAAAATGGTCCAACATGTCAGAGAGGATCAAATACATTCCCTTTCTTTGTTGTTTTAAAGGTATCTCGCGCACGGAATTTTGACAACATTCGAAATCAGAAAAAGCTGGTGTGCCGTGGGAGTTCATTTTCCTTCTCCGAGAGCAGTTTGGCAAATTTGGTCGAGAATTTCTGATCTTTCACTTTTATCGCGCAGCGTGAAATAAAGGCTAAAAAATGGTGAGACTAGTTAGTAAAACTGCGTTTTAAATACAAAATATGATAAAAGGTAGAAAAATAAAATATTTCTCGTTGTTATCGATGTTCAAATTGTCCTCTTGGTTCTGTTCAAACCAAAGGCCTTTAAAAAATTAAAATCTGGGGATTTGCCTCGTGTACCGGTAATATACATAATATACATTTGGTTCTGTTCAAACCAAAGGCCTTTAAAAAATTAAAATCTGGGGATTTGCCTCGTGTACCGGTAATATACATAATATACATAATTTACATAATTTACATAATTTACACAATTTACATAATTTACATAATTTACATAATTTACATAATTTACATAATTTACATAATTTACATAATTTACATAATTTACATAATACGAGTGAAGTTGGTGTGGTATAAAACCACGTCCGCACATTGAGAACATCTGGCGGGAGTAGATAGAAATGACCCAGAACTTTCTTTACGTACAACTACCACAGAATACAGTTTCTTACGTTGATAGTAGCTTGAAAAAGCGTTAACCGATCTAAACTTGCACTAAACAGACTCACTCAAGCGAAAGGAATATTCTGGACAAAATGTAACGTACCATGATAGTTGCGATATTTATATCGTGTGTGAACGAATGAATGCATGCTTTCTTTTCGTTTGTTCTTCTTTCGTTTGAATTGATGGCTCTCGCGCAGAAATAAATAATTTGTGAATAAGCCATCAAAGTGCCTGCAAAGAACCTTCAACATCATAAGGAAATCATTTTGGTAACCACAAGAGTTGCGATATTTTCATGGAGTGTGTGCATATCTATGAATCAATCACTTTATTTCAATCACTTTATTTAATCACGGAATCCTTATCACTAAAAGAAAAGTGGTCTTCAGAAGAGCCGTGCTTATTAACCCTTATTTCGTTTGCTTATTTGCTTATTTTGTTTTGTTTTCTTTCTGATTTTTTCCTTTTAACCATAACCATCTGCTGATCCATCACATTATTCTCGGTCGTCCTACTGCGAATTTATTTTACTTTCTTCTATTTTGAGGAAGTGCGAGATGAAAACAAGCCAGAGTTCACTGTCGCCTGAAGTAAACAATAAGAGACATTTTTTTAATTACTTCAGAATTTCACTGACGCATAATGAAAGTCTAGAAAGCTTCAATCTGTCTTCCTAAGGTAAAGGATAAAACGATGCCTATGAGTTGCGACTCTATTATGGTATATATTTTGTTGTTCACAGCGATACGATCAATTACACCGTGTTTAAAAAAGTCAAAGGAAAAGATGGTGAAATTGGAGCCGATTCGTATTTGCTGGTTTTGTGTAAATTTTCAAAACAGGAACATTTATTGAAGAAATATTAAGAGTTCTTCTACGGTCAAAAGAGAGAATAAAGTCCCATTTTAGAATATGCTTTATCATAGTTAGATCAGTCAATTCATCAGTTTTCCCTATCGAGAGATAGGAAAGTTATCGTCATTTTACAACTATTTTAGCTTATTGTGAGCATAAAACATTATGTTAAACAAAATGACAGGTCAACGCAATTAATTTCAGCTGACGTGCAGATTCGGTTCTTGCCAGCGTGGATATCAAGATTACCACATTTGTGGCATAGATCACGGTAGCGAATGAACTCCACCACTGAATCAAAAACAACTTGTCTGGTTTCAACTCTCTCTCAAGAGCTGTCCAGCTTCAAGCTATCGCCAACACTACGTGGTTACCTCCTCGCCATCTGCGTCGTCAATGCCCTGCTGGCGGTCTTAGCCACACTGGGTAATGGTCTCGTATTGATTGTCATTTTTAAATTTTCTGCTCTCCGAACTCTTCACAATGTATTGATTTTCTCTTTGGCTCTCATCGACATTTTGGTCGGCTTAGTTGTCCAGCCAGCCTTTCTGGTTTACATCGCTGGCAAAATCAACTTGGTTTTTAACTGCAACGCTCTCGTTACCTTTCTGTACACAGAAATATTTTGTGTAGGATTGTCGCTGATAACGCTGAGCTTGATTGCTTGCGAGAGGTTCTTTGCTATTGTCTATCCCTTCAAATACATTGACTACGTAACAAAAACTAAGCTTACTTCAATCGTCTCTACAGTCTGGGCAATGTGGCTCATCTTTAATGTTACATGCAGAGCACTGAAGGTAAAAAACGACGAGTTCTTTTCTCCAATTGCTTCGGGCATCATTGGAATTAGCCTTATGTTGAACATTGCATTGCATTTCAAGATATTTAGGATAATTAGGCGTCACGAACGACAAATTTACGCGCAAAATCAAGTCAACACGGAGATTAGCGTGCGTGACAATGAAAGCTGGTCCACACAACAGCCGCAAACGCTTCACTCACGCGAGACGCGTATGGCACGAACCGTGGCGTATATCACGAGCGTGCTTGTGATTTGTTATTCGTTACTTATGGCAACCTCCTTGGCTGACATGGTGATTGAAAATGATGCATTGTTTGATCATCTGTTATACCCTCTCGCCGAGACCTTCACATTCCTCAATTCATCGCTGAACCCATTTCTTTACTGCTGGCGATGTAAAGATATAAGGGAAAAGGTCTGGCTCGTTGTGAAAAGAGCGAAATATTTACCCTCCGCTAGGTTTATCAGTCAACGACGCATTGAACAGAAAAGATTCGACGGAGAAAGTTCTTTAAAGAGAGAGGGAGCACATGCCTAGATCTTTAACCTAAAAACACTGTCACCGAGTTCGCTTCTCTCAAGCGACAGGTTAAACTAGACCTGGACACTGTTTACAGCTATCAACAAATATAGTCACTTTGAAGCATGAAAAAAACAAAAAATATTTGAAATAGAAAGCTGTGTGAAAAATGGAAGTTTTTTGTCCAAATTCTGATCTGAATTTGAATCCTTTGAATACAGTTTTGAGCAGAACCGTGTTTTTTCAATTTCCAAATTTAAAGTGTTTACGCCAATTTTGATTCTGATATGCCTCAAAAGAATGAAGATTTCCAATGACCCAGTACAACATACTCAACCACAAAGATCATTGGGTGTCGATTTTCTCATTTGTTTGGATGTATTAACCAATTATGCTCTCCCGTTTGTGGTTTGCAAACTGTATTCCGTGTTCTCCCCAACATCCAGCTTACATAGGCCACGGAACAGGGTTGAGGGGGCGTGGGCCTGTAGCCCCCTCAAACGAGAATTAGGGGGGAACACCAACCCCCCCTGCCAAAAAAAATTTTAAGGCCGAAAATATCGTTGGCGCATTATAAAAATTAGCAAAATATAAAATCTCGTGATTTTGTCACAAATCCTTTAATCAGCACGCGCCCTTTTTTTAACAGCTGCGGCATGAGTTCGAGAAGCGTGACTAGGGAATTAGATATGATTTAATTTTGTCTTGGGTACCCAATCGAATACTGAACTGAGAGATTTTAGAGTGTTTCGGAAAAAATGAAAGCAAGGCACAGATCAATTACGGACACACTGAAAACTGTAAAGATTGCTGAAAAACTGTAGATTGCGAAGAGGTTTGCCTGTGCCAATGAACAAATCGAAGGGAGTTTTGGAAAATTTGAGTGGGGGTACGCGCATGGGTGGGTGAAAGATAAGCAACCTCACGTTTCAAAACGCTTCGCCGCCTCTGGCATGTATGGTTTATTACGCCGATGATGCGATAGCTAGCGTGATTTATAGCGTTAATATTTTAATAAATTGCGTCAGAGGCCAATTGTGAACGTGCCTTGGCTTTGAAACTTGTTCATACCAGAAGATTTACACGGCTCATTCGTAGGACTTTCGCAGCTTACGAAAATAGTTTTCGACACGGACTGCAATTTTTCACTGCCATCTATCTGAATTCAAAACCTTTCTGACAAGGCTTAAAATTGGAAATTGCGATTACCTAGTAAGGCTAGATCTCCCAGATTGAGTTTGTTTAATTCTATCTCTGTCCAATAGTGGATATAAATCATTCAAATGTTACGCTGTCAGTTCTTTACTTGCTTTCTGCAACTTGGTATTATAGTTCATCGTATGTTCCTCTTCTTGAGACCACTCTATTTTTAAGACGTGATAATCCTTGGCAAAGGAAACTGAAACATCGGATCGGGTTGAAAGTAATGTACTTCGAGATTGACTTCAGATGCAGAATTCCGTTACCTGTAAAGAAGAAAAAAAATGATGGAGTTCATTTATACAGGTAATTGAAATCTTACACGAAGGCGTTGAAAAAGGAAAGGTGTCCTTTCTCTTAATCTTCTATTGACATTTGCTCAAGCAAAATAATGTTTTGAGAGTGGGTTTTGACATCTCGTTGGTACAATGATCTGGATTTTTTCCCCCATGATCTCCACATTCATAGTGACTCATCCGTAATACGCTGTTTTCTATCAAATCCATCAACACTTTCTAACGTTGAGACATCACAAGAGATGCAGAAAAAATGACCCAAACTTCCTTTTCCTTAACAGCTTCTGAAACTAAATTTTTGTAAACTGGATCCTAAAATACTTTTAGGATAACAAGGTCTCAATGGAAAAAGTTCGAATTCCACTAACAGGATGAGTTAAAGTGCACCTAAACCCAAAATTTTTTTCCGCTTAACGAAATAAGCGTATTTTTTTTTGAGAATATTTGTACAAAAATTTTTTTATTTGCTCAAATCTTCAATTTTCTGTGCCCAGTCAAAATACGGAAAATCGGCCGCCATCTTGGCTCACGACCGAGTTTATAGAGGAATGGTTCTAGCGGGTAATGTGACGTCAAATCGAGAACACGAAAGTCTGCATTTCACACATTTTCACTTGTTTGAGAAGGTTGTAGTCGATATTGTCCGAAAATATGCCGACTAAGTGTGTTG